TAGCTGAATTTATTTTCTCAATTATTGGACAATTTCTTTGTGAAATTAATTTTGCAAATATACTGCTAAGATGATTCGCCATATCGTTAATCTTTTGCCGAAATAGTATTTGGAAAGTAATTTTGCAAACAACCACAAATATTTCAGAAAAGATCAATGTTTTTACATCTATTTCCTAAAATATGTCTGTATAATTGCAAATTACAATTTTAGTGCAAGATTTCGTCACATAATTTTGTAAATGGTTTCCTATCAGGGTTAGGATTATTTCCGTGTCCGATACCTTTCATCGAGTTAATCAGTTGATCGGTGAACTAAATCAGATTTCCAAAGGTCACCGGACATGGAAAAAATCCTAAGGTGATGGGTGGGATTTGAACTCGAGACCTTCATATTTGCAATCCCTGCACTCAGTCCGCGAGACCACTTGTTCCTTACTAAAATATAATTATTTTTGTCTACTTATTCTAAAAGACAGTCATTCGTTTTCGACATTTATTGGGCTACAAGATAGAATAAATATATGTCAACAGTTTTTATCAACCATACGACAGAAGTACAGACATCGATGTCTTGTTTTGTTACTGTCATGTTGCTCTTATGTTGCCGAAAACGAATGACAAAGCAAAGAGTTTTTTATGAATAAAAGTCATTTTGTTGACAACGTAATGAGCAATAGGTGCTCTTCGTTTGCTCTGCTGACACAAAATGTCTCAACTTTGCCTTCGTGTTGTCGATTACGTATGACTATGCATCATGTTTTCAGCAAACCCTTACGAAAAAGAACTACTGGCAGTAATATATTGCGGCAATGGTACGAAAAAATTACTGGCATTCTGTGTAATTGCCAGTAATATTCTCAGTGATTCCTGTAATATACCTAATAATATTCTTATGTGAATATTTATATTACTGACTTTATTTATATGTAATCGGCAGTAGTTCTTTTTTGTAAGGGAATACACAGCAACTACTTGAAAACTTCAGCTCAGCATTAAGTTACATGATTTTGCAAAACATGCTTGGTTATCAGAGAAATGATTCTTTCTCAAAAAAAAAAAAAAAGAATGACAGGAATAACAAGTCTTAAGAAAAGAAAAATGTGCATTTATAAAAAACGCGCGACGATTATAGAATATATAATAATACAATATATAGTAGTGCCTCGAAAATTTTCCGCAATTTTGCCATGATATTTTTCTGAGAGTCATCCAATTCTTAGAAGTGCTTCGCCAAAGCTTCGCGCGAATTGGTGGGGATGACTTTGCGGCGATCGAGCCAATCAGAGATAACAGCGAGCAATTCTCGAAACATATACCTCCCTCGAAATTTTTCTGTTTGTGGAACCGAGGAGCGGAAAAATTTCGAGGCCCTACTGTAGAACATCTAAAACATACAATAAAAAAATATCAAACACGATGATGTCCAACAAGCAGCGACATTGCATTTTTGTTTTTTTTTTGCTTTCCTGAAAAAAATGCTGCTGAGGCTGAGGCTACAAAAATATAATTTGCTCAGTTTTGGAAGAAGATACTTAATTTGCTTCTTTTGTACATATACGAGTAAATACCCCTTTATCTCTTGTAAGATTAAAAAAAATCATTGCAAAAAAAGACAGCATGGTCAGAGTAATCATACCAGAATTTGATGCCCCGATAGGAAAATATAAAGTGATGCCATATTAATTCGATGCCATACTCTACGTTAAGTTGATGGAATTTCATGTATTATTATTGCACATGAAATTCCATCATACATTCCAATATAACGCAAGAATGGCATTGAATGAAATACGAGGTGTGATCAAAAAGTAAGATGACTCTTTGAATTTCGCGCGCTCTGTACACTCTAATTTCAAAATTTTTTTGTTGTTGTGTTGGTACACTCGTCACGATCATATGTTCACAGTTTTGACTATATAGCATGTGTTGTTTTTATGTGAGAGGCATAAAGGTTAGAC